TTTTCGTTTTTTATATGCATAAAAAAATGGAAAAATTACTAAAAGAAGAAAATGAAAAACCTACAAGTAATGGGTTCTGTGACAATGGAAGAATGGTGATGAGAATGGTATCTGGAATAGAGAAAATGATGATGAAGTGCTCTGTGCAGCCAATAATACAGAAACTCCACTGGTCCTGCATGTAAAAGAGCAGTGATAACCACACCATCCAATCTCCACAAGGGCATCTGAGAAGCTTCTGGAATTAACATATAACCTACGTAGAACAATATCCCATTGAACAAGATCTGGTCATCCCTGCAAATATTTCAAATTTTTAACGTTAAATTAACCAATCTAGGAACTGTTTATATATAAAGTTTGGTAATACATATTATCTTCAATTCTCATTATTAAACCTTCTTTAAGCTTTTAAACTATGAACATAATATAGTTTCGGTATATCTAATAGTTTTACATAAAACTGATATAAACATAATATGGATATATTTAATAGTTTCAAATAGTTTGAGAACTAATTATTTAAAAACTAACATCAATATAGTCTCGATATATTTAATAGTTTCACATCGTTTAAGAACTAACATCAACGTAGTCTCGATATATTTAATAGTTTCCACCGTTTAAGAACTAACATCAACGTAGTCTCGATATATTTAATAGTTTCCACCGTTTAAGAACTAACATCAATATAGTCTCGTGTATTTAATAGTCTCACATCATTTAAAAACTAACATCAACATAGTCTCGAAACTAATATCAACATAGTCTTGGATATTTAATAGTCTCACATCGTTTAAGAACTAACCAGTTGCTTTCTCGATCAACTTGTTCGAATTCAATGGCCTTGTCAACGATTCTGGATTTGCCTTTGGCCGTTCTGTGGCGGGAAAGTGTGATCCAAATTTGGTCATGCAGCATCCTGACCAACATGTAGGGGAAGATGAGGAAGTAAGCAAGGTTTTTCTTCTTTGGATCATTCACTATGAAGGAGTAAGTGCTGTGCACGATCCATGGTGTCAAAATCACCCACTGTCATCACCATCAATATTATATTGTTAATTCACCATAAAAACAATTCAAATGTCTATTTTACTTTATTTATAATATATATTAAATTTAATATAAAGATCCATCAATATATATAAAAAATATATATAAAAGTTTGAAAATTTAGTCTATAATAATGGAAGCTTTGGAAGCCTCTAAACCATATGCAACATTCAAGGATAAAATGGTATGAACAAGAGAAGATGAAACAAGAGTTGATGTTTAGCTTATAGAAATAAGATTATGAGAAAATAATGAAAAAATAAGTATGAAACCTTGAAACTGCCGAGAGGCTTCCATGGCCAATTGGTGAGAATGCCAGGTTTTGAAGCCATGTTTGGAATAGCTTAGGGTAAGAAAAGGAAGGAGAACTAAAAATTTGTGTGTATGATGTTCTTGGAAAGTGTTCATATTTATAGTGGCTGAAAAGGGAAAATGAGTGAGCTATATTGATGGCTTTGATGGCGAATGTGTAGGGTAGATATATAGAATAAAAAGTTTAGATAATTTTTGCTTTCAGAAGAGAATAATAAATGTCTCTAACTTTAGTTTTTCATATATTTTAGCTGTATTTATGTTGTAAATTGTTTCTAATTTCATCCAAATTTTAATTGTTATTTGAGTCTCTGATGTGATGTATTTGGATGACTGTGAATAACAATTGAAAAAGATGTTTGAAACTCAGAATATTAGAATACTAAGAAAAGTATTTAAACAATTGAAGACTAAAATTAAACAAGATTTTATATATCAAATGTATGTAACCAACAATTTATATTTATTTTTCATGCTTTTTTTATCGAAAAAAATAAATCAATTCTTAAATAAACAATGTGACACAACTACAAGGAAAACTGAAATATTAAAATTGCTTAATTATATATAATACATGAACTAATAGAAGTGTAATTAAAGTACTTCTAATGTTTTAAGAATTATTTATTTTGTTCTTCGAAATAAGAATTAGGGTTTACTTGACACTATTAGAGCTTTTCATATTTATTCTATTTGTTTTTTATAAATTGAAGAGAAAAATCACAAGAAATTCACTTATTTTTTTGTTTTTTACAATCTTTCCAAAATATTTTTAGAAAAATCTCATCCAAAATATGTATGTAAAGTTATAATGTGATATTCTATAATATATTTATTAAAATCTCTCATTACAAAAATTAACGACATAATAAATCTCACAACGAGTGATTAAAAGAAAATATATTTAAAATTTGTCTTTATGTTTATCTGGAAGTCCGATTTTGTCGGGTGAACTGAAGCTGCCTACACAGTTTGCATCAGAGCAGAAAAATAAATTATGGAGACAACAAAATTAATTTTGTAACTACTTCTTGCAGTGGAGTAAATGGGGACACAAAATTCATTTTCAATACATTATACTTCTAAAATAATCTTAAGGAAACAGAAAAAAAAAATCTGAAAAAAATAAAAAAAGGAAAGATATTTTCGTCATTAATTAACATGTTTTTTTTCTTTCTTGTTGTCATCAAGTTAATTATTAACGTAGCCTTTATGTATTGATTTTTTGACCATTTAAAATTTATAGTCCAATATTTTCATCATTTTATAGGACAAAGACCTTGTAAACAGATTTTCATATGATTTTGTTTAAGGTAATTTTAATTTAGCAAAAATGGTAATTAGCTAGTTGCTTGTGCATATATTGCTGCAAAGCACTTTTCCTTTACAAAGAATAAATTATCATAAGAAAATACACTATCCTTCAGAATTAGAACTAATTATTAACAGAGATTTTATTGAGATTATAGTTTTCGATTTAAAAACTTGAGCGACTTTAAAAAAAATCTTATTACATGTATTTTCCAATTCATAATTTAAACCAAATATAATAAATATATTTTACCAGCAAGAAAATTTTTTAATGTTCAATAAACTAATAAATATTAGAATTTATTAATTAAGATATAATATGATAACTAAATTCTAAGAGTATAGAAGATTTTTTTTTCAGATAATTAGAATAATGAGACCTGATTATTTTAATATTAAAAATTTATAGTATAATTAATTTTTTTTAAATAAATTTTATTATTCTAAAACACGTCTTCTCTCTACATATCTTTATTAAAATTTTCTCTCATTTTTCTTTTAGATATCTCACTAACAGTTCATTCTTTTAAAGGTTAGAGACTCTAGAATTTTAACTCTACAAGATTATTCTATTAGTTTCTTTAATAGAATATGATTCTCTGCCCCTTTTTTGGTTAGTTGTTCTTTCTCTTGCATGTGACTTTTGATCAACTTACATGTAGCGTTTGTGTTTGATCTGTACATTTTTGTTGATCAATGGTCCTAATGTTGTGTTCTGATCATGTTTGTTCATAGTGATCGTTTTGGTTATTTATGCGTCTAAGGGTACTTAGGGGTTCTTAAACTGTTTTAGGTCATTTTCCAGGTAAGAAAAACTAGTTATCATGTTTTAAGTTTCTGTTGCTTTGAAAGTTTGAACTGTGTTTAGTTTGTTTAAGATTGTTTGAAGCTCTTATATTGGTGGTTAAACCTATTGAATTTTTTATTAATTGAATTGGTTGGAGGTGGATTGTAATTGTTTGAATTGATGTTGAATTAAGGAAATTAGAATCTGGTCATTTGAGCAAATTGGTATGCAGTCTGACATTGAAATTTGTTTTTGAATCAAACATTGAAATTTGTTTTTGAAATAAACACTAAGTCAGGAATACCAATTTCGTCATCTAAACAAGTCTTTATTTCTCCAAATCATAGAATGAAGTGTATTGATTTTTGATGTGGCATTGAACGGTATTGGTATGGTGTTGAGCAACCATTTTGTGAAAGCTTTGACGTTGAACGCTAACAAGTTACTGCTAAGCGCCAAATTTCACTGTAAGCCTGAAACTATTTTAATTCTAATTCATTGAGCGACAAACTAGAGTCGTTGAGGGAGTCAATTTGTGAGAGGAATGGTGTTGAGCACCATTCTAACCACTGAGTGTCATTCTTACCATAAAGCGTTAGTTCATGTTTCATGCTTTTGGGTTGATTTTTTTGGTTGTTGATATGGATTTGTATCATTTTGATATTGCTGGTAACTAAAATGGTTATAATTATGTAATTATATTTATACATTATAATATGGATGTGTTGATGTGTGGTTTGGTTATTGAGAGAATTTCAGGGAGAAATTATATGTCGTGGTGAATGGTTAACATATGCTTTGCCACAAGAGAGTTTAGAAAGTAGATATCGTGATATGTTACCAATCATTCAACTCATATAGAGATGAATAAAGTGAGGGAGAGAATGACATGAGATCTTTATCTTGGACTTGTAGTATCAAGTGTGAAAGATTAATCTCGTGAGTAGTAAGGTGATAACCTCTACGTTTATGACTCTGTAGAGTATAAATGTTATTACAGGAGTACATCTACGGTGAAGCTCTATAATAAAGCATGTATCCAAACAATTAAGTCTAGAGTCAATTGCTTATATGTTTATGTGATTTAGAAAATGTTATAAATGTTGAAGTAACATGTGATGTGTTAAATTGGTTTATGAATTTTCCTTTTGAATACTAGTTTATCTTGCCTTCTTCTTTGTATATGTTGTTTCTCTTTAGTAATGATCACTTATTGGTGTAAGTAGAATATGAATTAGGTGATGACATGCCTTTGGTAGAGGCCGATGATGCTGCTGAGTGATCTCTTGGGGTTTTTAGTTAGATGTTTCATTAGTAGATACTTATCTTTTGTAGAATTTATTTCATATTCTAGAGTCTTGAACATATTCCATGTTAGTATGGTTATTTATACTAGATAAGTGTATTGATATTGTATATGTTTCTTATCTATTTATTGTGCAATATCAGAATTATAATGTTTGATTTAGTAATTCACACTATTAAATAAGATGTTATATAAATAACTAAATGAGATGCCAATCCCTTATCTGGGTTAGACTCAAGCTTCATTGGTGTTGTGTCCCTCCAATAAAACTTTTCCTTCGATAGATCCATCAGTGGCATCAACGTCGATGGTTAATTTTGGTGATTGACTTATACAAATACAGAAAGGGTACTCATGGTTGGAAATGTTTATGTTCGAGACAAAGTGTGAGTTTAAGTTCCATAGGGTAGAAATGAATTTCCCCTAAAAAACCCATCTCATTCCAATTTAAATTATGCCAAGTTCTCTTTTATAAAATGTATACACTAACACAAAAATAACTTACCACATCACTAAATTTATGTCTAACATTAGACAACAGACGTAAACAATGCGTGGTGAAATTTTTGTAATTAAATGATCAATATTTACGTATGACTTATAAGCATAAACCATTAAAATTTTTCGATATTTGACGCTTATAGATCATACGTAAATTTATGTCTAACATGTACACAACATATGTAAATTTATGTCTGTCTGACCTATAAGCACCAAATGTAAAAACTTCTTTTCTTATGTTTGGTGCTTATAAGTCAAACATATAAATATGTATAAAAAAACCTACAATATCCACTTCTCTTCTCTTTCTTCCTTATGCGAAACTCTTTCTCAACGATGGCGACCATTTTGTAGGAGTTAGGACTTCCAGTGATGACCAAAAGTTACATTTTTGTCTATTCTCGTGTGTAGTTTATTAAGAAACATATTTTCTTCGAAATATGTTTATGCATTACGGTTACTTTTTCATTCTTTTCACTATAGTGTTGATGACTATTTATGGGAGAACTCAGTCATTGTAATGCTTGAATGTCTTCCTTATTTATCTTAAACATGAATTTTATTTTATATTAAATGTTTGATATTAATTTTATATTTTTAAATAACTTAGGTTTATGTTTATATAATTTGATGTAACAAGACGTAAATTACTAAATTTGTGTTTGTTAATTAGACAACAAACATAAATTTATATTTTTTCTGAAAAAATTCCAAAATAATATAAGTATTTTTTATTAGTGATAGAGTAATTATCCTAAATATACAAAATCATTCCTGACTATCACTTTGTCTCATTCCATACAAAGCTACTTATGGCTTTTGCAAGTGCATAATGTGACTCTTACGCTTAAAAAAATTATTTATGTATGATTACTTGGAAATTCTTCCAGAAAAAGGCATAGTAAATGAAAGCTCTTTGTAGGAGATAACTTAACACAATGAATATTTTACAAATGAAGTTTATTACCTCCAAGTAGTGTAATAGAAAATTTGATGATGTAAAATGTGCAAACTTTTTGAATTGAAAATTGTATGTTGATCTTTGTTCTTTTATCCGTGTTTTATTAAAGTAAAATAATTATCTTTCAAGTACATTTTCTTTTAACACTCAATATATTATATGTAAGAAAACTATATCTTTCTAAATCCCTTAATAGCCCTAAAATTAACAAATTGAACTTAGAAA